GCTACCTACGTTGGCACGCTTGGCTCAATGAAAGTATCCATATCTGATCTCCGGAGGGCTGCTGAGGATGCTGAGAATCACTTTATTAGTTAACACTGGTCTCTTCCGTTTGGCTGTTCTAGTGGCTTCCCCTCCACACACTAAGCACAGGGAGCCGCCAGCTCGACTCTGTCACCATTCAGAAAATGCCTTATATTTTTCTCAATGAATTGATGATGTTCTCTAATTGCATGAAGTGGCGATCGTGATGTCATCCACCCCTCCTCTCCACCCTGAAGATTAAGCTTCTCTTAAAAAATTTTATGCTTCAGTGACTGACATTAGGACATAATTTATCCTACCGATACTGCTTATGTTTTTTTTTTTCATCCAACTGACACCAACAGAGTATATTATATCTCACTGACACCAATCATTGGGCTTATGTTGCACCCACTGACACCAAACCAAAGGGGCTTTTCTTTTTAGAATGATCCTTTGTACTGAGGTTTATGTGTGTTTTGTGAGTATAAAGGACTGTGTTATATGTAGGACTGTGTTACGTACTCCTGACACTGCATGTTACTTATTCTTGAGCAGATTAGGCTAAGGTTTTATTTCCCCATACACTATAAAGCCCCTCGCACTCTTAGCACAGTTTAGCCATGCCAGATATTAGTCATGTTGCATGTAGAGCACCTCATCATTACCTCATCATGCTTAAGGTATAGAGTCGATGTCACTGCCAATGGACAGCGCGGGCACAGTTTCCCTGCTCGTGCGAGTGCCCACACGAGCGAGGGCTGAGAGGACTTTTAAAAACGCCCACCCGCATTCAAGAAGTCGCTGGCCGGCTGTTAAATGACAACAGCCGGACAGCAGCTGATTAGAAAAGTCCTACAAGCCAGGGGTCCAAACCAGTCAGGCAGTGTGGTACCACGGCAGCAGGAAGAGGTGAAGTATAGGAGCAAGCATGAGGTCCGGGATGGGCAGCAATCAGACCATCGGGCATAGATGGCCGAGCCGGGCTGAACAGGCTGATTATGTTCGGCCCGGCCCACCGGGCAAGTGTCCAATATGCCCAATGACCAGTCCGGCCCTGCTAAGGACACAAAAGCGCAGCAGCCGGGTCTCCCGGGCGCTGCAAATACAGGCATATTTTATGTCATACGCCATATTTTTACACCATACATGTCCATGTGAATGAGCCCTCAGTAAATCAATGGTGTCATCTCCGATTTGTCAATGTTTTCTCTTTTCTGTAGATCCCTGATATTCACCTGTCATCAACCTGTTCATGTGAATCCGTCCGGACACCTGCTGCCTGTACACCGCCATGACTAACGGGATCAGTGACGCAATGCAGATCTGTACAATTCACGGATGACCCTCCCCTGTGATCGATTTTACGCTTCACTGACAGAGGCCTGCGTATCTAAAATGTTTATATCTATAATTAGTAAATCATGATTTAATATCATTTGTTAAAAAAAAATCCAATTTGGTGCTGATTTTTCTTAGAACTTTATGTGACATTTCACTGTGATGCAGTGGTTTAATGCGGTGGCATCACTGGCAGCATTGAGAGAGTCTCTATGATTAAGCCCGCTGGGGTGAAACCCATCAGTGACATGGTGACATGATCATGTTGGCCTCTGGGTTGCAATAAAGATTTTAAGGTGATGCCAGCAGTGTGCGGCTCCAAAGTTCAGAGTTCCCAAGGAGCACAGCCAGGGCCAGATTTACTTTCTCTGCTGCCCCAAGGCCAGGTTCCTCAATGCGCCCCCCTGTATGCAGGCTGCATACAAGTGATCTTGGCGCCATCGCCGAGATCACTTGTACAAAACAAGCGGTGGCTTCCCCGCTGTACATTTAGCTCTGCTTGCCGAAAGCAGGGCTAAATGTAGAAAATTACTACCCGCCCGGTGCCCAGAACTGCATGTCCCGAGCGTCGGGAGATAGGAATGCCCGTGTTTTGAAAAACTGGAATTTTGATGTTGACAAATGCACAGATGTGAATAAGGGCTCAGGGCAGGTTTCCTGATGGTCACAACAGTTGATTATGCCTGCGTAATGTGTGTCTGAGCAGCCGCTTGTATTCCCCATTGGGAGGGCGTATGACAGGGAGACAACAGTGGACCATGTCTGTGTATTATTATTATTACATAGGATTTATATAGCGCCAACAGTTTGCGCATTGCTTTACAATATAAGTAGGACATTACAATCACAATACAATTCAAGACACGATGTTAAGGAGGGCCCTGCCTGTGAGGGCTTACAATCTATAAGGGAGGGAAGTGATGCATGAGGAGGTAGCTGTATGTAATGTGCGTCCATTGAAAGGGCTTATGCCAGGGTGACAACAGTGTGCACTGCCTGCATAATGTACATCCATTGGGAGGGCTTACAACAGGGTGACAACAGTGGGCCATGCCTGTGTTATGTGCGTCTATCGGGAGGGCTTATGACAGGGTGACAACTAGACATGTGCACTGCCAAAAAATTTGTTTAGTTTCGTTTCGTTTTAAATTCGGATTTGTGTTATTTTGTTTTTCGGGATTCGGGTGTGAAAGTCAACTCGGTTTCGGAATTCGGATTCGGACGAAATTCGTTAGCGGTAGTTCGTTCGAATGTTCGTTTCGTTTTCGTTTCTTATACGTTTCATCCATTCGTTGGTTCGTTTGCAGCAAAGTGACATTTAAGGGGGAAAATGTTTTTCTCCTCTAATGTCACTTTGCTCCAACGAACGAAACGAATAAGAAACGAAAACTAAACGAACGTTCGAACGAACTACCACTACCGAATTTCGGAAACGGAAATTCGGATTTGTTTGCATTCGTTATTATCTGTAATTCGGAATTCGGATACATCCGAATGTCCGAATTTCCAAACATTCGTCCGAATTTAGATTCGGAACGAAACGAATCGCACATGTCTAGTGACAACAGTGGACTATGCCACGTAATCTGCATCCATTGGGAGAGCATACTGTATGACAGGGTGACAACAGTGGACCATGCCTGAGTAATGTGTATCCATTGGGAGGGAGTATGACAAAATATAAACAATGTACTGCGCCTGCGTAATCTGCATCCAATAGGAAGGCTTATGGCAGGGTGACAACAGTGGACCATGCCTGTGTAATCTGCGTCCATTGGGAGAGCGTATGACAGGGGGACAACAGTGAAGGGATAATATTAGTAGACATGCGTTGCAGAAGACATATAGAGGAGCTGGAAGTTTCACACCCCAGGTTTCAAATGCAAGAAAAAAAAGGGTATTTCCACAGTGGGGTGTGCGAGGACCCAGAGGGGAAAAGAAAAAAAGGGGGCTTTTAAGAAACAAGTCCAGACCTCGTGTATAAAAATCTTAGAAGTACATTTATTCAATAAATCGTTGTATACATTATTTGAGATAAAAAACGGAATACAAAATCATCAATAAAAATGCTTTTACAAATGCAGGTTCACCGAATGGTGACGATACCGTGCAGTTACGATGTATATGGTTGTTTGTTATCAGAATGGTATAAACGCTCCTGTAAGTCCCTACATGTTTCGCCCCGAAAGGGCTTCTTCAGGGGAGAGAGACAATTCTATGGGAGATATGTGTCATATATGTGTCTTCACCGTCAGTTAGTCAGGGAAGCGAGAATATAGTTGAAAAACTGCTTCAAATACAAACAAGGGATTGGTTTTGTCAAGCATGAACCGCCACAGGTAAACACAAATTGAGGGATCGCGTCGGAGACAGCACCCTGTAGTCTTCAGGAAAAACAGACAGCCGGCATACTAGACTTAGAGGTAGTGAAGTTCTGCTCTTGCCGTGTGTGGTGTTGCTGTTTCTTTCCCAGACATCTGGGGGACAACAGTGGACTATGCTTGCATAAGCTGCATCCATTGTTAGAGCGTATGACAGGGTGACAACAGTATATTATGCCTACATATTCTGCGTCCATTGGGAGGGCTTATGACAGGATGACAACAGTATATTATGCCTACATATTCTGCATCCATTGGGAGAGCATAGGACAGGGTGACAACAGTGGACCGTGCCTATGTAAAGTGTATTTATTGGGAGGGCTTTTGACAGGGTGGCAGCAGTGGACCATGTCTGCGTAATCGCGTCCATTGGGAAGGTTTATGGCAGGTCGACATTAGTGGACTATGCCTGCGTAATCTGTGTCCATTGGGACGGCTTATGACAGGGTGACAACAGTGTATTATGCCTACATAATCTGCATCCATTGGGAGAACATATGACAGGGTGACAACAGTGGACCGTGCCTGTATAAAGTGTATTTATTGAGAGGGCCTATGGCAGGGTGACAACAGTGGACCATGCCTGCATAATCTGTGTCCACTGGGAGAGTGTATGACAGGGTGACAACAGTGGACCATACTAGCGAACCCTGCATCCATTGGGAGAGCTTATGACAAGGTGACAACGCAGAAGAACCATTAGAAGACAAGGACCTTTCATGGCAGGATCACCAGACATTTATTTTCATGAAAGCTGCAGATTCCCAAATATTGAAGATGATGTTCGAAATCCCATTAACAAGTTAAAGTTTATATGGGATTTTAGTGATTGGGTAACATATACTTTAAATAAAAGATTTTGGCTGAATAAATATATAAGAATTGTGTAAAGTGAGGATTTATGGCATTTTATTTCATGAATGGAGCTTCTCCCTGGCTCCTCCCGGACGTGGCCATTACCAACGGAAAATTACAATTTGCTCCACCTTTAGAAGATGAAAAGTCCACCACCATAATTACTACATCCAAAAATAACATGGTTAATCCCCTTACCCACCTCGCCCACTGCTGCATCCCGTGGATGGCCCCCTGCACTGATACCATGTGACAGGTCAGAGCTGTACTAAAAGATCATTGGCTCCTTCCTGGCCAGAATGTGAATATAAGCGGGGCCTCATGCTGTGGTGTCAAGGAACGCAAATCCTACATTGGATAAGTATAGGAAGACGTATCCTCATTGAAGATATCTACTGCAGGATGGACAGAAGGAGAATTTCTTTCGCTCTCTTGGCTTCCCTGATTCATGCATGCATTGGGGTTCCGCTACAGGTAAGTTGAACTTTCTAGTATTTATGAAATTTAAAGGAATATATCGGTCAGGTAAATAGGAAATATTGCATATGAATATTATCTACTTCTATGTGCAGCCAGCAGGTTCCTCTAGGCTCCCTTTCACACGTCTACCTGTCTGTTCTTAGCTGCTCTGTTGTGAGAAATGCTTCCGTTTACAAAGTTAAAACTGAAGTTCTCAAGTTCTGTCAGTCAAACACAGGTAACATGCTTATAGGAGGGAAGAACACTGGTGTGGCATCAGCAATGGGCTACAGTACTTCATTGTCCAGTCACAGCCTGTATGGGCCTAGATGGGATTATATTGAAGTGAACTTGTACTCTGATGCTGTGCAAAGTAACAGGTCCATTTTATTGTAAGGACCCCACACTAGGGTTGACACTTTTATTTCAAACCAAACCCTAACACTCTAGCGATGCGCTGACTTTCTTTGGGAGAATGTGTCACGGCTTATTTATATGTAAATATCACAGTCGAGACTATTTTCAGTGGGGGGGACAGTAGCCCCTATCTTAGTTTTGGTTGCCCGTCTGCCTGACATCTTGTGTCCGGGTTTCTGCTGCCATGAAACCCGGACACAGCTTTCAAAACCCTGACTGTCTGGGTCAATCCTGGGCAGGTGGCAACCCTACCCCTACAAGGACTACTTAATAACCTCCCTATGCCGCCATGATCCCCTGTTGGAGCCCAGGGAAGCAAGTAATTGAATAATTGGGAGATGCGTCACATGACACTTCGCCACCACCCCAAAATTCCACACTCAGAGTGACCAGTTAACAGGCCCGAGTGCTGTCACTTTGATCACAGGGTCCCTTAAAATCCTGTGTAGGGCAAGTCAAACTTTCCCAAGATTCTCAGACATCCTGGCAGTGGCTCAGAGCTGCAGGGAGCACAGACACGGCTTGTACATTTCCATCATTCAGTCACAGATCCATTCACAGGATGTGTGAATGAAAAGTCTACAAGTCCTATCAGCCACCGCAGATTGCTATGGATTATAAGAGGGGTGACATCACTGCACTTGTAATCCATTGATTACTTTTTCCAGTCCCATAACCAAAGATCCATACCCTGGGGGCTGGAGGAAGGGTCTTCAGGAGCCTGTGCATTGCACCCGCCATCCACTGATTGCAGTTGCAATGCTCTGCAGGTTTAAATGCAAAAAAATTGTTAAAGGCATTTTTTAAATTAGATTCCAGTGGGTCATATTATTATTATTTTTTACGATGGACTATGCATTTAAATATTTTCCTCAATAGCCACAAAAGATATAACTCTTCTTTGTGTGCACCAAATGCCTTTAGAAACTATTACAACACAAAAGATATTACCATATAAAAGCAGCAGTGACATCATCACACTAGGTGGATTCCAGCGCCATTATTTCTTAATGGCACCCCAACGGACCTGGCCATTGCATGTGCTTTTTATCGCACTGCATCGCACGGTAATCTGCAATGGAATGTGGTGCAATGCAATTTAAGAAAAAAGGTGCATGCGCTTCTTTGAGAGTGATTTTGTTGCAGTAGGCAGCCCGTTTAAATGAATCAGTTACCCTACCATAGGGCACTACAACGCACCTTTCAACACTTCAGCAAGGACGCACTGCAAAGGTTGCAACAATGGCTTGAAATCATATTGCCAAAGGTTGTTGCCATAGTTGTTGAATCCATCAGTGATCAATGCTGTTGAAATATCTGGTGACATGTGACTCCGTATCCAATATATTGTAATTATATCATTACTTTGTTTCTGCTTTATTTTCCAGATTAATTTTGAGAGTGTTTATGAAAAAGGTAAGTGATTTGTGTTGCTGTTTTTGGGTGCAGGTGATGGTATTTATACAATGCTGTTTATAAATAAGAATGAGCTCAAGTATTGACTGAACCCAGCCCAAGCCAGAGATCCTCCAAACATGGAATTGCCATGGGCACTTCCGCCCAATCAGCTGCGGCATGGGCACTCTGTTCTCCGTAACTGCATGTAAACAAAGGGACAGGATGATTGTATTGATGTAATTTAAATAATATGGCCACATAGCCACATTAGGAAAATGTAATTTACCAAATATAGGCATGTAGCCATATAAAGTCAATGATGTCATGGCATTCTCTCCCTTTGCTTATGTCACGCTATGTGCAAACCTGAGCTCATCCCTATTTAAAAAACACAGACTTCAAAGTGTCCTCATGGACTCAAGAATCTAGTCTCTCTGAAATATTGCCGTCTAAAATTTGTTATTTTCATTAAAAACTGTCTCAGAAAATAATACACTGTACTCTTTATAACAATGACAAACCCTGCCTGGTCTCTACCCTCTGAATTGCATCCTATTAAGAGGATAACATACTGTGCATCAAATATGTACAATTTTTCTGGCTTTTGTCACAGAGAAAAGACACTGCCATTTTCAATCCCAGGATAAGAACTGCCGGCTTTCTTCCACCTAAATTGCAACCTATTAAAAAGAATAACATACTGTGCATTGAATCTGCACAATTGTTAGGCATTTGATTAAAAGGGAATCGGTCATGAATCGGAACGTTTCTCAGTGGAATTAGACGGAAGCTGAGCTTTGTCCAACTCCTGGATCTGACTTCTAGTTTTGCACAGGGGGGTATGCTCTGTAGTCTTGTCCTAGGGTGACAATAATGCTCCTCCATAGATAGGAAATCATTCCACCATGCAGGATATGATATGGAGCACGATAGTTATCAGTGAGGTTCAGTTAAAGTGTATTTGTAACATTATTAATAAAAGTTCTTATGATCAATGTAATTGTTCTTATTTCTGCGAAATGAAACTTATTAAAAGAAATCTGTTACCTTAAAGTGTGTGTGTGTGTGTGTTCATGCGTGCGTGTGGCCAGAGTAGGGTTGCCACCTGTCCAGGATTCACCCGGACAGTCCAGGTTTTGAATGCTGTGTCCGGGTTTCATGGCAGCAGGAACCCCGGCTGATGTCAGGCAGACAGGGGCAACCAAAATTAAGATAGGGGTTACTGGCCCCCCACTGAAAATAGTCTCAACTGTGATATTTACATAGAAATGGGCGGAGCTATTTACATATGAATAAGCCAAGACTCATTCTCCCAAAAAAATGTCCGCATGTCGCTAGAGTGTTTGGGTTTTGCTTGAAGAAAATTGGCAACCCTAGACCAGAGCAATGTGAACAATATTATTCATTTGTTTCTTTGTATTGTTTTCAGTAACTAACAAACTTTCCCACGTTTCTGTCTTTCAGCGGGGACCGTGACAGAGCGTCCGAAGGTGGAGCCTCCTGATGTTTTCAGCCTCATCTCTGCATCCAACAAAGGTAGAAATACGAGTGGGCCGATGTGCGCACCCATTGCTGACCCCTCCTTCAAAAAAAGGTCTTTAATTTGAATTCCTAATTTAATACTACATGTAGTGTGCAGATAAGGAGTTCATCAGGTGCACTCCTTTTCCAGGTCACTGACATCAGGCATCTAAGCCAGAGAAAGCCAGGCTGAGCATCACATGTGGGCATTACCTAGGGCAAGCTGCATGCAAATGAAATCTGCCTAGGAACGCCCACTCCGCCAGACTGAGATCCGCCCATCAAAGCATTTTGATATTTGCATAGCTCCTCCCAAGAGCCAGCCCACCACTTGCATCAGGGTTAAGGGCTCTTGAGAGGAGTAACGAGGCAGGGTGCTGTAATGCTATCAGGACGCTATGTACAGCAACCTGCTGACCCTTCCCTTCAGCCATGATCTGCCTACATTGAATAGAGCAGCACAGAGACACAGTGATGATGTCACTGGGTCTAAAATAAAGCGTGTGATGAAAACGGAAAGCTTTTAGCATGTTAATGAGGTGGGAGGTAGAAACCAGGAAAGACAAAATATAAACAGAACAAACTTCAGCTTTAACTCTTATGTCCCTTATGTTTTATAAACCATTGTGACTTTTATCTGTGTTTACTGTTTGGAGAGAGCAATATGCTGATGCGTGAAGGGGACATCGCTGTGGATATCGGACGCAGCGCTATAAAGTGCGACGACAACTCTTGCAGATGGAGTAAAAACAGCACCGGCATAGTGAATGTGCCCTACACCCTCTCCCCCGACTACAGTGAGTGTTCTGACTGTTACCACAATACAGGGTGCTGACACATGAATCTGCAGTGCTGGGGTCTTGGGGTCATTTTCCAACAGGACACTGTCTGCATCAAGCTTCGTCTACTCCCTATGCCTGTGTGCAGTGCCCATAGGGTTCGTGTGTGTGGCTATAGTAGACAGTGGGACACCTGTGTAGGGTAGCTGTGTAAGAACGGGCAGCACATGGCTGTCGTCATATTTTCCATTCTTATTTATTTTTTGTTTCTGAGGATTGTGTGCTGAGACTTTCTGCCGCTCACATGATCTGCAACCATCTGCTTTTTTCTTTATTTTAGCTTTTCTTCTGGAGCTCAGCCAGCTGTACCGTATAGTTCAGTGGCAGCTTTGCTTACAGATAGCATACTGTTCCCGATAGCACATAGCTCATTTAATTTGAATAATAATAATAACAACAATACTAATGTATTTATATAGTGCCATCATCTTTGTGGCATACCATAAAGTAATAGCTATAACTAGGAAAGAAATGCGGGTAATACAATAAATGTTCCGTAGACTAGTACATAGAGTTGTCTAGAAAAATAAAGCAATAACAATAAACTATAAGGTGTATAATGTATAGTGGTAACAAAAGAGCCCTATAAAGGGTGTCGCTGTTTACATGACTCCATGAAACTGACTAACCAGAGTCTTTTAGTTGTGGCTTTAGACTAGCTCTGGGGGGTATTGGGAGGGGGGAGATGATGTCAATTGCTCAACATACCTTTTAAAGGGAAAGTTTATTGTATTTTCATATTTCATATATTTTTAGTTATTTTTATATATTAAAACTTATTTTTGCAGTTTTTACATTAAATCATTTTTTATGTTAGGTTCACATTTTTACATGTGTGCCCTACCATATTTTTTATATTGTGTTATTAAATATGGAGATTTGTGGATCAGCCACTAGAGGGAGCCAACACTCCATTTGCCTTACTTCCCTACTGAGATAAGATAAATATGGCTGCCATCATGTGTTTGTGGATATACAGTATATATATCTGGCTTCCTTAATGGGACTTCCGGTATCAGTATTCGGTATCGGCGAGTACCGAAAAAAAAAATATCAGTACTCGATACCGAAAAACCGGTATCGGTGCGTCCCAATGATAACATGACTTCCATTAACCGGTTTTTTACTTGTATTATATCCAAAATTTGTTGAAAAGACTCTACATTCAACTTAAAAGTACAGAGAAAGAGTTTTCCTGAAAAAAAAAAAGAATACAGAAAATAGAAAATAGAAAAAGTAGTAACAAAAAATTCTGAATGAAGTGGGTGGGGGGAACTCCAGTTTTATTTTACAAGATGTGCCTCATATTGGTCTTCTGGTTCCATAGGTTCCTCTGATAAGACGGTATTCCTCACCGCCATGGAAGAATATGCGACTCTCACTTGTGTACGCTTCATCGAACGCACCTCGGAATCTGACTACCTGCAAATTATGTCTAACTCCGGGTATGTGAAAAGTGATTCCACCCCCCCTCTCCCTTTTCACATATGATTTAGTTCTAATATTTACGCAGCTGCCAACAAAATGCAGATTTAACTTCCTGGAAATTATCGCAGCTCTATTCAGGATTTCATTGGGATTTCCCAGAGTCGATATTGCTCCGCTCCTCTAATTGTATCACTGCACAGAGCTTGTAGATAGGTTGCAGGCAGCCTGGGACACAGAATATGCTCTTCTTCTTAATGTCCTTAGGGAGTTTCATCTCTGGTGAGGCATTTGCATGTCTAAAGAGCTGTAATGCTGGTTTCTTGTTATATCACGGAGACCGCTCATGTGATTATGGGTAGCACAGACCTGGAGCCTGGAGGCTTTGTAGAGTTGCGGGCAGGATGAAGCCTTCAACCCTAAAGGTGCCCATACACCTTAGGAATAGTGTATGCGATCGCGTTTTCGTCCGATTTATACAAGGATGATGGGCAGTGTACAAGCGCAAATACTGTACAATCGATCGACTTTTGACTAACCAGCGGGTTAGAAAACTTCGGTCGATCGTACGATTTTCGCAAGGTTGGTGGCGTTTCCGTACGTCAAAATTCGTACGATTTACACTGCACATGCGCAGACGAAAAATACGTGTGGTCGATTACCACAATTCGTCCAGGTGCTTTCTTTTAATTACCTCTGATCTAACCTTGCGTTAATCGGGGCAGGATGGGGCCGCCGTAGGAAAATCGTACGACGGTTCAATCATCTGACGAAAAGTGTTGTCCGATGATCGCAAGGTGTATCAGCAGCTTTAGTAAGCATTTTTGATAAGCAGCACCCAGCTGTGCACATGTTCTTTTGGTTTGGCAGCTGACTGTGGCTCAGGGTTCCTCCTCTGAATCAGACGGCTGGGTTACGAGACTCTCTGTTTTGGCTTCAAAGACCAGATCATCACCTGTGAGTTGCAATTGAGGATATAATGTAAATCCAGTTTGTTTGGACCAAATGCCTTTGTAAGCCCAGATACTACATTGTAATAGTAGCATTGACACACCATCACTGTGCTGCACATTGCAATCTGATGCTGCATCACTTTAATCTGATTGGCTGTTGGTTGTAGCCCTTGGTGCGATGATATAATAAACAGAATAATATAGTTGTCTCCCTTTCCCTACAGATGTTGGTCCTATGTTGGTAAGAGAGGAGGAGGTCAACCCCTATCGGTGGTGAGCGGCTGCATCAGACAAGGCTCTATTCAGCACGAGCTGAACCACGCTCTGGGATTCTTCCACGAGCAGAGTAGGAGTGACCGTGACAACTACATCAATATCATGTTCAACAACATCCTGCCAGGTACCAGATGGGGGGTGACATTGTTATACTAGTTGAATATTTTGTTAATGGAATTAGATCAGATCCCATTTAATAAAATACAATGGGGGGAATATATCAAAACTGGAGCAAACAGAATCTGGAGCCGCTGTCCTTGGCAACCAATCAGCATCTCTCTTCAGTTTGCTCAGGGGAGATTTGAAAATGATAGATAGATGCTGATTGGCTGCAGTGCAAATCTGCTCCTGATTTTGTCTGCTCCAGTTATGATAAATCCCCCCCAATGTCTCTGCAAATTGTGGCTTTCAAGGTGCATTGCATATGAGCGAGGCCAATATTGGAGTAAGAATTTCTGTTAACTAGCAATTTGCGTTTCAGAAAAGGGTTGATTTATAAACAATTTGCAGGACCGTTCACCCTGTGGATATCCATCAACGTTCCTTCTGCGGGAACATAGGCACAAACGAACGTTCTTTCGTTTCAAATGTTCTGCTTGTAATATTGCATTATCGCCACTAGATGGCGCTAAGGGAGCATATGTGATAAGCATTTATTTTCTACTCTCCTCAGCTCCATCCAGTGGCCATAATGCAATATTACAAGCAGAACATTCAAAATTAATTCCATAATATCTCTCTGCAGGTTTCCCTGTGCAATGCAATGCTATATAATATTGTCACTGTGAATATTTTACTCTGCCACCTTCAGGAACCGGGGGGAATTTTCAGAAGTATGACACACTTAATCTAGGCACGGAATACGACTATGGCTCCGTCATGCATTATCCAAGGTACAATTGTGAAATCTGTTATTTTTCATTGAAAGATAAGAAATTTAAAAAAAGAACTGCTGACGAAATTCAATGTGTGGCCCCGTTGTCAGCCCTCAGTTCAACAACCGACAATTTTTCAATCGCCTAGTGATGAAGGAACATAGCCGAAAATTGACGGCCGAACAATCACTGCAGCCAATCAGCTTATGCACACAGGCGCATTTGGGGCACACAACATAAATCAGATTTCTCTAAGCACCCAAGAAGCCCAGTTCGTGCATACAGCCCCCCTGTAGACATGAATGACTGTGCGTGACAGTACACGGGTATATGCTGGTACTCGCATCAACCCATGTATTGACGTATTCCCAGTACACAGAAAGTCTGCCCTGATTGGGTAAACTGGCAGCGTCTCTTTAAGTGCAATTTACCACACTTTAAAGTGGAAGTAAAGTCCAAAAAATAAAAACGATTGCTGGGGCTTTGTCAGAGAATACATGCAAAGACTCTGCTGCCAAAAAATTCTTGCACTCTCTGCCAGCGATATCTTATCCTTTGTGCATGGCACATGCGCCGCATAGTGTACACACTCAGTCCGTTCACAGCATCTCTTAAAGGCTGGGAATGGGCCTAATGCCGGGGAGGATGTAACTGTGCAAATGTGCAGAAGGTTCATCATCAGTGGCCACCCAATGGCCAAATAGGATGCCTGGGAACCTAGAAGTGTTGGGCAGATATGGTGGTTGTGGGGGACAGAGCAGGGGATCGAAGGTCGATCCGACAGTGACGAAGGGCACACGTGTAAGGTAATTGTGCCCCGATGTATAGATGTGCATACTTGCACATTAGGGCAAAAACCCCACCAAGTTCACTTCCACTATTAGTGATATTGAATTAAGGTCACTGACTTTATAGTGCAAGGTATGCACCACAATACCGGTTTTCACCTGCAGGGGGTGCTGTAGGAAAAGTCAAGGATTACGGCTCTTGGTTCTTGTAAAAGAGAGTGGGGTTAGAGGCACCTAAAGAGTTTTTTTTTTACCTAGGGCCCCTTGCAGATAAGGTCATGGTAATGGTAGCTTGTGAATAAAATATAATAATGATATCATATATATATATTTTTTGCTTTGTTTCTAGCACTGCTTTCTCTGTGGATGGTAGTTCTCCCACCATTGTCCCTAAACCAAATGCCTCTGTGCCTATCGGACAGCGATATGGACTCAGCACCTTGGATGTTTCCAAAATAAACAAGTTGTATGACTGTGGTAAGAGAAAATTGGATTTATAGAACTCAATCAATCAGCAAAGTGTTCACTATTTCTCAATACAATATGGACTATAGTGGACTTGGAGCATACCATAAAGTTCAATAATACATTTGTTGTGTGGATAGCCTGTTTCTTGCTGTTGCGGATGCTCTGCTCTGTCTTGCTTTTTTACTTACAACCGCTATATTATATTTCTAACAATTAATCTTCTTTTTTTAGGTGTCTGTCGAACATTGCTCTCCGATTCTTCAGGATCCCTAACATCTTCCAACTACCCTAATAATTATCCCGGTGCAAGCCGCTGTTTGTGGCTCATTCGCATTCCATCAAACCTGGTAAGTCCCAGAGTTCTGAATCTCATAAAAGCCTATTACGTCATAACAGAGAGCCACGACTTACCAGTTTTCAACCCGGCTCATTAACTGTTACGGGATGCTGAGGTTTGTGTGAAGTCTGAACCAATATTTGACTCCAGTGGTGCGGAGAGAAACAGGTTTGTCTTAATAAGTAATACCTCTGGAAGTACCTTTCCTAACAACCTGTCTCTCAGCACACTTGGTTTCAGATCAGGGCTCAGACTTTATACAGCCCTTGGATTGCCTACATATTGTTCTCGTTACCCTTAGCAAGTGATTGGATTTTTATATTGAACCGGGAAAGCAAATATACCCATTAAGGTAATGGCAAGTGATGGTGAAATCCCTCCAACCAAATCAGTGCGGTTTCTATGGAATAGGGCTTAGGACTCAACAAGCAAGTATAACCCTGGCTTCTTGGAATAGGGCTTGGGTCCCAACAAGCAAGTCAGATATTTGCTTCTATGGAGTAGGGCCAGACGCCCAACAAGCAACCATTGCCTTGGCCTGTGGAGTACAGCTTGGAACCCAACAAGCAGGAGTGTCCTCATAAAGAGGCAGTCTGAGCCGGTAGCCTCAGGCGGCATCTCATTGGGCAGGTGGGGCAGCAGCAGCAAGCCTGGGCGACTAACTGCACCCCCCCAAATCCCCTCTGCTCGCCACCACCTGCTCGGCTGACTGATAGCTTGGCCCCCATCTCCTGGCTGCCTCAGACAGCCAAAAAGGTAGGGATGGCCCTGCCAACAAGCAAGCATGATATTTGCTTCTATGGAGTAGGACTTGTGACAAAACAAGCAAGTGTAATATTTGCTTCTATGGATTAGGACTTGGGGCCCAAACAAGCAAGTATGACATTGGCTTCTATGGAGTAGAGCTTGGGTCCAAACAAGCAAGTATGATCTTTGCTTCTATAGAGTAGGGCTTAGAACCCAACAAGCAAGTTAAACCCAGGCTTCTATGGAGTAAGGGTTTGAGACTCACTCAACAAGCTAGTATACTGTAACTATTAGGATTATGGTGACAAGGGACTAAAGGAATCAAATAGCCTAAATAATTGTACCAGGAAAGAGATACATTGATCTATAATTCCTTATGTTCCCTTCTTTTGTTGACATCTCCTTCTTCTGCTAGGTATTCCTGCAGTTTAGTGCCTTTGATGTGCAGGCCACACAGGGTTGTGCTTCTGACTACCTGAGGATCTACGATGGGCCAACCACTTCCTCTCCCATGTTATTAGACAAAGCCTGTGGAGCTGGCCAGCTGCCCCCTATGATCTCTACAACCAATACAATGCTCCTTGAATTTGTTAGCGACAGTAGCACCGAGGCCACTGGATTCAAGGCTTCATACAGCACTGGTAAGGATTCACATATTAGTGCTCATCTTTGCCCTATTTTATGATGTGATATTCTTAAAATGAACTATTATCATTTATTAAAAGGAAACCTTTAATGAGACTGCCAGTGCTCAGCTCCCTATTAAATTGCTAGCTGCCACTGTTCTGGCCACTGGTGTCACTGGCCACCTATGAGCATGCAGATCTGAAACAGCAGAGTCAAATCAGTGCACCTATTTGCATACTTGTTCTATGTCAGTGACTCAGGAAATACTGCCACGGGATCAGTACATCTGCTAGAGAGAAAGTGAGGTCAGCAGCGGCAGCCAGCATACCATCTCAGTAAAGGTTTCCCTTGTGAAAGAGAATGAACTTGTCAGGTTGTTATTGCAGCCTTTGTTCCCCTTGGGGGATATTTCCCTTTTTTTCCTGTCCCCAAAAACACAACAGAAAGTAAATAGAATTCTCCCACCTCTAGCGGTTGTCCCCATTGGAAGATTTTCCCTCTACTTGTTTTCCTAACCATGACTGTAAAATGTTGGATTCCTCATTTCAGCCTCAGTAACAATGGTCCCAAGAGATACCTATCCCCCAGCAAGGACATGGACGCCAATAAAAACCCAATAAGTATTGGGATCTATCCAAAACTAGCAAAAAAAATGTTGTGCCTGGAGGTTGCTCTTTAATACAGTTCTCAAGATAATGAGAAAACATAATATATACAAATAGCACATTATAGGTCACATTACCAAGGCTGTATATCATTCAGTACCAATGTTCTGAAATATTTGTCATGTACAGCTCTAACCAAAATTATTCAACCCCCCATTGCAAATCAGGTTTGCCCTTTTGTGCCATACACAGCTACTGCCCGGCTCAACAAAAGATGATTCAAGGATTGATTGAGCCTGGTGGAAAACTGTCGGCCATACAGCAAATGCATCCAGTCAGCTACAGTCACTGTTCGGGTACAAGAGCCAGCACTGAAGTTTCCTCCATCTACGTCTAGTATGGATGGGGTAATCCAGGGCCAAAGCTAGGGAGGGGCATGTGCCCCTGGTGCCGATTTAGGAGGGGTGCCACTGAGTGTGTGGTTGGAGAACTTCTCCCTTGCGGGGGGGGGGACGAGGGAGCAACTGTTACCCGGGACAAAGGGGGGAGCCTTTGCCCCGGGTGACAGAATATCTAGCTTCCCCACTGGGGTAATCTATTGATTTGACCTTGTGAGCCCATGGGCCGAATGAGAGAAAAAGATGCGTGTCTGGCTACCCCTGATCTGCAACAATCATTTGCTGAAATCTCTTTACTAATAATAAAGTCTACTATACATTTCAGTGGGTTCTGACTGCAAAAATACATTGTTGCCTTGTTATATCTTATCAATTTGTTTCTATTATTTCAGTGACCTGCGGCTCAGTGTTGACCAACCCTATGGGAACGTTCTCTACTCCCAACTACCCCTCCAGCTATCCTCCAAGTATGGATTGTACCTGGGTACTAACAGCCCCGCCTGGTTTTATAGTGAGTACCCAAAACTGAAGGGTATATAAACCCTATACAATGTACTTTTCTAATTTGGTCTTATTTGGTGCAGAGCTAGTGCTGGGCTTTCTGTAGCATGGAAACAGTTTGTAATACATATGTTTTTGATAGTTGGGGTTTTAACAACAATAATGAAAGCGTCCCAAAATAAAAGTTCATAAACTTGCACACTTGAAAATATTTAAATAAGATATAAAAAATTAAAATATTAATTATATTTCATACATTATATTAAAGGTATTTTCTTCTTAAATATATATTTCCTGAATCCTGAACCTTGATATCTTAAAGCTAAGAAAGATATTTCCAGCAAAATTCTGTTTTTTATGTTATTAAATAATTCCCCTCACTTTGCCTTTATTTTTGTCACATTGTGGTGATGGTTGGAAGGCACAGTTTTGGGTTAACAGTAGGGATGCACCGATACTGGTATTTCGGTATAGAGTACGAGTACCGATATTTTTTTTTCAGTACTCGCTGATACCGAATACCGAAAGTCCCATTAAGGAAGACTCGCCACCGATTAGCAGGGAATCCGTCCCCATGCTTCTCGTCACTAGGTGACAAGAAAGTATGGAGCCGGCTTCCTGGCCAATCAGGAAGCCGGGCGCCGTGTAATGACGCGGCACCCGACTTCCTGATTGGCTGGGAAGCCGGCTCCACGCTCCGTCATTATGAGGTGGTCGGGAAGTCGTCTCCATGCTCCCTCGTTACTTGTGACGAGGGAGCATGGAGATGGCTTTACGGCCAATCAGGAAGCCGGGTGCCACGTCATTACACGCCCCCCGGCTTTCTGATTGACTAGAAAGCTGGCTTCAAGCTCCCTCGTCATTTGGTGATGAGGGAGCATGGAGCCGGCTTCCTGGCCAATCAGGAAGCTGGACAGCGTGTAATGACGCGCTGCCCGGCCTCCTGATACAGGAAGTATGGGGCTAGGCATAGGAGCATTTGGACGACTATTACTACTACTCACTACTCACCCAAATACTCGACATCGGCACCGATACTAGTATCGCTATTGGTGCATCCCTAGTTAACAGGCTCTGAATTAAAACCATTAAGAGAAATGCCGTCTGCTTTATGAGAAGTTAGACATCTGCTGGGCAGCAGGGACACATGGCCTCAGCTGAGATGTAACTCTTGGTATTGTTGAGCTTTGCGATTGCAAACTTCATATCTGAAGTGCTTGCCATCTTTCAGTAGCTTGGATGCGGCTCTTGTTGACTTGCAGTGTTCTGTGCAGCGCCTGGTACACATGTGCGATTCGTTTCCTTACGAATCAGAATTCATATGAATTTCCAGAAATTCGGACACATCCGAATTTCCGAATCCCAAAGCATCCGAATGTGTCTGAACCCGGATTTCCGTTTCCGAAATTTTGGATGCCGTCCTCATTTTGCTTTAAAACTAAACTGAATCGTACATGTGACTTTTCTGGCCAATCAGATGTGTTTTTCGGCCTAATGCATCCGAATTTCCGAATTGCATTCAGGAGCTCGCGAATGCCATTCGGGTCTGGGAGCCTCAGCTTTAGTTTCATGTATATATGGCTCCAAATGTTGCCGCAACAAATAATCATGCGTACTACAGAATACTAATTATTAGGGATGTACCGATATAATAATATAATAAAATAGATAATTGAGGACATGGTATGTGTACTATATCCTCAATTATGAATGAATGGGAGTGATCTACATCACCTCTTGTTCATTCATAGTTGTAGTTATAGTAAACATACTCTGTCCTCATGTTATGAATGAACAGGAACACTCAGTATAGAGGATTCCTGCCACCATTGGAGGGGTGACACCAAAATGACTGACCCCAGCAGCATACCTCATCCCGCCGGGTGAACGCCTCCTCCTCTCTCTGCCGGCGTCCATCACCAAGATGGCCGCCGGCAGGCGTCAATAAGACGGGACCGGATGCCCCTGATTGTATTACTTGTGTAATTATGTCTTTTGAGCTGCAGATGGCGCTGTAGCGCAATGCTAGTCTGTATGTTCACGCTTCTCTATGATATATACATCTCTGTATGCTGTATAATGCTGTACACTGATGTAACGTTCTCCTAAGAAAGTAAAACTTAATTCAGCATTCCTCAAGATCTCGGTACTTCATCTAAACACATAACCGAGAGTAACCTCCTACAGGCTAGTAATCAGTCTATATAAAGTCTGACTGGGAATTGTTTTTTTAAGTTGAAAATGTGTCACCCTACTCAGCATAAAAGGGGATCAAAGCCAAGCAAGTCCGGCCCGAGGCTACAGACAGTAGTAACAAATGGGTCCTCAACTTATAATTCAACATCTATGCTCCCATTTTTATTTTATGAATGAATATGCCATATTCAAACACGTTCTTGTATAAAAACAATATCATATAATCAGGAATTACATTTTAATAGGTTTGTAAAATTAGACAAAATTGGACTGGTTTGCTGAACCATTAAAGGGAAGCTTCACTCAGTAGCCTGAGTGGTGGTGAGCGATGGGTGAGCCTGGTGTGGTGATCGGATATCTTGCTCCATCATGTCCTTCAAAGGGAATAGTGTAGGAGAGGGTGTAGGAGAGGGTGCTAAAACGGAACATGGGAGTGGTCAAATAGAATTGTGGGAGTGGCTAAGCATATTTCTGTAATATGTAGTTGGAATGAAAAAGTTTGTTGGCGAAATTGATGGCGTACTATGTGCTGTGGAAAACAGGGAAGGAGACACGGACTACCCACTACCATAGATGTGACGGAGGTCACAACGACAACTGTTCAGCCAACTTTATATGTCTATGCAAAGCTTATCTAAAATAAATGTTAAAGATTGGCTAGAAAAAAAGCAACTTGGTGGATCCGATATTTTTCAGGGAAGTCTAACCAAGATGGTACGTGCCCATTAACATGCAATTGTCCAATAATCTCATGTTTTCACTACCTTACAGGTGTCTGTAAATATGACGGACTTCACTCTGGAGTACAAGAGCACCTGCACCTTTGACTATATGCTTGCTTTCGATGGGCCGAAGATCACCTCCCCATTGATGGGAAGATATTGCGGCAAAACCACCCCACCTGCTTTAACCTCCACAGGCAACAGCCTTCTTATTCAGGCTCACAGTGACAACTCCATTCAGCTCAAGGGGTTCTTGGCCAAATATGCCTTTGGTAAGTCTGTCGGAAAGGTTTAATGAAACAAGAGACGCATCTCATGTGGGGTGTTTTATCCTGTAGGTAGAGACTATAATTACAGACCAGCTACAGCTAAAGCAGCCTTTCTCAGCTAGAGTTCAGTGGAACCCAGGGAAATCAGATTGCCTTATGGGGACAGGAAGGATTTTTTTTAATTTTACCCCATTTAGGTTTTTCTTCCTTTTAATTTCTCATCTCTATAGGTTGAACTTGATGGACTTGTGTCTTTTTTCAACCTGACTAACTATGTAACTATGTGTTTACAAGTGGAATGTATTTTCGAATGTTTTCCTGTAATATCGTAATATGGCCACTAGATGGAGCATATGAAATAAGTATTCATATCCTATACTCATCAGCGTCATCTAGTGGTCAAAAAAGAAGCGAAAATACATTCTCTTGTAAAGAAACATCTAAAGAATGTATGTTTTGGCATATATCCACACAGAACAAATATTCACAGATAATCGCAAGGTGAACGGCACTGCAAATAGTTTATAAATAGAACCCCAAGTGTAAGTAAACCCAACAATGAAGTTCTCTTATTTGCCCCCGCTCTATTTTGGTCTGTTCAATAAATATAAAATATTTTGTTATATCCAAGTGCAAAAAATATCTGTTGTTCCTGCCAGTGATCAAGTCTGTTCATAACTTCCTGTGCTGTACTCTCATGAGTTACATTGTCCTCCATGGACTACAGAACCCCTCAACTCTATGTAAATAGGAGAAGAGGAAAATATTTGTATTTAAGTCCTGTCCTAGGTTGACAACGCTGCTCCTCCAAAGCTACAGTACCGTGAGTGAGTGTTGTCGGCAGGATAACCAAAAAGAAAAGGGCTGAAAAAGAAAACTAATGCAGCCACCACATCTAAAGACCAGTATACTGCCATAGATGAATGTAGTTCTCTGCACAATGACCCTTTATTAACCCCGCACTGCAAGAGTTAACTGCTCATTTTGGTCTATGGAGGAAAGTCAAAAAGTTATACTCACCTGATCTTCTGAACCAGCTTGTTCTTAGACCCAGTGGCGGAACTACCGCCGGTGCAGGCGGTGCGGGCGCCCAGGGCCTCAGGCTCTGGAGGGGCCATCGATTAACATTTTTTTGAGTGCGGCACGTGAGATTAATAACGTGCTGGGTTAGTGTGATCCTAGTTCATTTTATTACTTCATTGCTGTGCTGTATGTGTATAGGCCAATGTAGTTGGATCTGTATGTGCGTTATAATTAATCTAAATTAATCGATTAAAAAAAAATTCGATTAATCGAACACGAAAATTGTAATCAGTAACAGCCCTACTTTATTTTAAATATTTTAACTTCATTCAAGATTCTAAATCCATTTGATATGTTTTCTTTCTAGTGAGACAATAATAAGAGGAAGAAGCCGCATCTATACCAGAAGATATACTGCAATTCGAGTTTTGCTATTTATTGTAATACTAGTGAAATGTGAACAGTCTGATCTGCGGATTGGTCACTTATCCCTAAATTGTGCTCGTGGGGAAGGGGGGTGCACAGCAAGATGAAAGAACAGATGTGCTTACTCCTTCTTGTTGTGTTCACGTGTTGATGATGTAGTGTTTACAGATTAAATAAAGTTTATTGTAAAAGGCTATATGTTTGTGTTGCTGCTCTATTGTCTGTGTGAAAGGGGTATCTATGGTTGCTCTATTGTCTGTGTGAAAGGGGTATCTCTGATTGCTCTATTGTCTGTGTGAAAGGGGTATCTCTGGTTGCTCTATTGTCAGCGTGAAAAGGGGTATCTCTGGTTGCTCTATTGTCTGTGTGAAAGGGGTATCTCTGGTTGCTCTATTGTCTGTGTGAAAAGGGTATCTCTGGTTGCTCTATTGTCTGTGTGAAAGGGGTATCTCTGGTTGCTCTATTGTCTGTGTGAAAGGGGTATCTCTGGTCAAAAACTACAAATAAATCTGTATTTCTATATTGAATTACCATAAGTTCTATCCCGCTCCCAATAACCAGATCCATCTAGAAGTTTGTAAACTTACTTATGGAAGATGCCCATAGGATGTATTTCTTCAACTGACAATTTAAATCAGCCCTGTGTCACAACTCTCACAGATCCTGCCATCGGAACTACTAAACAACTGAACACTGTGACATCATCATAGCTTGCTGGAAGCAATGCATGATGGGAAATGTAGTCTTTATAAATCGAGATTGCATCACGTCAGGCAGTAGGGAAAGAGATGCAAAGCACTCTGGGAATCCAGGAAATTGGTGAAAGTAGACATGTGCAATTCGTTTCGTTCCCAATCAAAATCTGGACATCTTGTGGTGTCAGTGTTTAGCCAAGATTTGTACCTTCAGAATTGTAAAAGTGAGTAAGGTTCACTTGAAATCTCAAACATACACAGCGATACATAGCCAAGAAATTTGGACTTTTAAAACATCCGAATGTCCGAATCCCAATGCATTCGAATATGTCCGAATCTGAATTTCTGTTTCCAGATCCTGTCCAAATTTTGTTCAAAAATTAAACTGAATCGGACATGTGACTTTTCAGGCCAATCAAATGTGTTTTTCGGTTTAATGCATCCAAATGGGTCTGAATCCGACTTTTGTTATGGCAACATGGGCGCCATATACAGTATATACATATAATACTAAGCTGGGGCTTCCAGACACGAATGGCATTCGAGATCTGAATTTTCAAATTGCATTTGGGAGCTCCCAAATGCCATTCAGGTCTGGGAGCCTCAGCTTTAGTAATATATGTATAGGTGAAACTCGAATAATTAGAATATCGTGCAAAAGTAATTGCAGTAAGTGCTGCAAAAGGGGCCCAAACCAAGTACTGAGTACATATGCATGCTTGTACTTTTCAGAGGTCCGATATTGTTCTATGTACAATCCTTGTTTTATTGATTGCATGTAATAATCTACTTTTTTGAGGTTGTGGATTTGGGGTTCTTGGGGTTTTCATGATCTGTAAGCCATAATCATCACAATTATGACAAATCACGGCTTGAACTATCTTGCTTTGGATGTAATGAGTCTATCTCATATATTAGTTTCACCTTTTAAGTTGCATTAGTGAAATAAATGAACTTCGCACGATATTCTAATTATTCGAGTTTCACCTGTATATGGATCCCAGACCCGAATGCCATTCGGGATCCGAATTTGTGAATTGGATTATGGAGCTCCCAAATGCCATTCGGGTCTGGGAGCCTCAGCTTTAGTAATATATGTATATGGCTCCCAGACCCGAATGGCATTCGGAATCCGAATTTACGAATTGGATTAGGGAGCTACCAAATGCCATTCGGGTCTGGGAGCTTCAGCTTTAGTATTAATATCTGTATATGGTTTTCTGTGGCATTCGCAATGAATATTCGTAAACTCATCCGAAACTAATGAAAATTCGTATTTCGTCTGAATCCAAAACCCGAACCAAACTGAATTTCGGTCTGAAATAACGAAATATCTGAACCGGGCAGAACCAAATTTTTCCGCCGCTTACATGTCTAGTTGGAAGTGATGGGCAGACGGAAGGCAGGGCTCATTACATGAAAGGGATTTTTTCACGTAAGCTTTGATTCCATTATCAGAAACATCTCTAGTCTGTATTCCTATTACAATGCTGATGTCATAACAGGAGAGGATATGCTGGGACTTTACAACTCATTTCAAGTTTTCTCTGTCTCAGGATTGGGACATATAAATGCAGTGTGAGTACCTCAGGCTGCCTGAACACATGATTTTTACCCAATATGATGATTGTCAACCGTCTACAATAATCAGCTTTGTGCGCATAAATGAATGCAAAATGACCGATGTACTTGCATATGGGGCAAACGGATTTTCCAGATGAATGGTAAATCATTCCCACCAACGGCATATGTCATTGAATTGAATGATCACACAGAGCAGGGGGTCTATGAAGCTGCTGGGACATCTTTGCAAAATCGACTACATCATTATTACAAACCATCGGATCAATGAGCAATTTTCAGGAAAAGAAATCCATTTTTCCAATAATGGTAATTTGCCTGTTTGTTTTCTTCGCTATGATGGTTTGCGCAGTTTTGGAGGCTTATTTGTATTTATTATTATTATATACAATTTAGCCACTAGAGAGAGTTCTCAGTGTGAGTCAGCAGACTGATTGACTTCCATTGTAAGTAGGAGCTGTAGAGCACAATCATTGTTTAGCTCTGCAAAGCAGAAATCAGGACACGCCTATGTAATGAGCATATATGGCTGCAGTCATGTACAGCTTTTGCTGCAATACACAGTTTCTTTTGGAGCTTTCTTCTGAGTCTTTTCACCTGTTTTTCGGTATTGAGTACGAGTAACAATATTTTTTCCGGTACTTGCCAATACCAAATACCGATATCGGAAGTCCCATTAAGGAAGCCAGGCAGCGTGTAATGACTCACCACCTGGCTTCCTGATTAGCCGGGAAGCCGAGCGGCGTGTAAAGTCTCGCCACCCGGTTTTCCAATGAGCAGGGAAGCCATCTCCATGCTTCTCATCACTAGGTGACGAGAAAGCATGGAGCCGGCTTTCTGGCCAATCAGGAAGCCGGGTGCTGTGTAATGACGAGGCGCCCGGCTTCCTGATTGGTCGGGAAGCTGGCCAATCAGGAAGTCGGGCGCCGTGTAATGATGCGGTGCCCAGCTTCCTGATTGGCCAGCTTACCGACCAATCAGGAAGCTGAGCAGTGAGTCATTACACGCTTCCTGGCTTCCTGATTGGCCGGGAAGCCGGCTCCACAAGTGACGAGGGAGCATGGAGCCGGCTTCCACGCCAATCAGGAAGCCGGGCAGCGTGTAATGACTCGCTCCCTGGCTTCCTGATACCGGAAGTATCGGGCTAGGCATCGGAGCATTTGGGTGAGTACGAGTATTCGCCCAAATAATCGGCACCGATACCTATACTAGTACCGGTATCTGTACATCCCTAGTGAGCGTCATTCATCCCATTTCCTCTGAGCCCCGGCTGTCAAG